TATGCACCTTGGGTTGGTTAACACATGGTTGAAATAGTTCAGAGTGGGGCATTTGTAGTTTTTACCTGGGACCATGTAATAGCATGGTTTTGTACCTCCGTGGTCAAATGGTCTAAATCTTTGAGAATTGTGATTGCTTTATTTTATGCCCTGAGCTATTCATGGATTCTGCTATTTGCATATTGGCTTGACATTTGTTGTAAAATTAATACTTTTTAAAATACACAATTATGCTGGTATGTTGACTTTTGTTGATCAAGTAAACATGTCTTACTAATTATTTGCCCTTAGGTAGAAATGTTAGATAAAACTAAAACATTATGTCCTTGGTAGGATTTATCAATATTACTGATTATTTTTTATTTAAGTTTTTGTTTTGTTTGGCGGTTAACAATGTTTATTTAAACAAACAAAAAAGTCTCAAGGCTTTGCACAAAGACTGCCTCATCATGTGGGAAGTTTTGTTTAATTTGTGATATTTTTGGGATGTTTATTCCAATATTCATAGAAAAAAATGTTCAACATAAAATGATAATCAAAGTAGATGGATGAATACATCTGTTATAAAAAAATAAATAATTTAAAAACTGAAACTTGAGTAAAACTAATTTGAATTTCTGAAGAAACCTGAATTTAAGTAAGAAGGTTTTTTTTCTGTAGATTTGGAAAACTTTCATTTGTTAAACCAAAATTTAAAATATTTACACATTACTCTGTTGCATTCTGGGATGTGTGCACCGTGAAAAGAAACAGTACGTTGCAGAGAAGAAGCCGATTTAGGAGAGAGGAAATGTTAAACAACATGTAAACATTCCAAAAAGGATGTGGAATACACAGGGGTATGTTAAATAAAGACGCCGGGAACCGGTACATGGACAAAATCAGCGTTGTAAACAGTTTTGATCCATATGAAAAACCAAAGTCTGGAGCACCGACAACAACTTGATGCTGCCTATTTTAATTTCTTGTTCAAATCTAAGTCCCAAAATCAAGGCATTTTCCAGAAATCTGGATCTGAGTAGGATGGCTTCACTTGGCTTCTGATATTTCTTGTTAACCTATGTTCAATGGTTTTAAGTTAACTGTGCCATGGATTGGTAGCCTGGTAAGCCCTCCTATATATGTGAATATATTGTCTGGCCAAGATCCAGTAACAGCTCCCAGTTGTGGGTGTATATTTGTCTTTCAAACTGTCCCCAAATGCTATTGGATAGCAAACATGACATACTTACCAATACAGATCTCAGTCAATAAGGCAGCCCGCCATACTACATCAAAGAAAATGCAAAAACATCCTTTTTTCTAAATTAACCTAAGTACCTCTGTCTTCTCTTGAGTCAAAGAAAAGTCCAAGATAAAATAGTTCAAAGTTGATGTCAAAGCTGTTTCAAAGAAGCAGTTATCTTTGTTTTTTCAGTAACAACCCGACTATCGAGTGCTGTGATTTGCCCACCAAACCAATAGAGCACTATTATTGGACTGCTACGGAGCCATGGCCATCTTGGTTTGAAGTAGCATTCCGCCCATCTGGCTAATAGAGAGCTGTGATTGGCTAACCAAACCAATAGAGCGCAGTGATGGGATCGCTACGAATGTCAGTCAACGGGGCAGTCTGCCATTATATTGTGAAAGAGCTACGCAAACTGTTATAAACATAAAAAAGACATCATTTTTGTAAATAAATGTGCTGATTGATCAGCCATAATACTGGCCGAGCTTGTGGAGGTTCCAATAGAGCATGCCTAGACCAAAATGCAAAGCAAAATTATTTTGCTTTGGTAAATGACGGTCTAGATTCGATGGATAATGGACTGGAGGACAGAACTTTTTATTTTTTTTTTCATCTGCAGGAGGCTAGCCCAAGAACACTGTTTAAAAATGTAGAATTCATTTAACATGCACTCTTCCTAGTTATAATCCACTGGACTTCTCTTTTTCTGCAAGTTTTGAGTTCTTAATCACTGGTCACATACAAATTCAAAGTAGGCCAGTAGTAGACCCTAGTTTAGCAGTTAAAATTATTTAAATAACTAAAATAAAAAAGCAATAAAAAAAGGCAAACAAGCAAATATTTTAGTCTCATAAAATAACAGTTGTTGGCTTCTAGCGGTAGTGGGTAAATATTCTCACTCTCAGTTTGCATCAATGATAAGTCATTTCATCTTCACTGAAAATCCAGATAAACAACTTTTCTTGGATCTATAGCTTACACCTGAAGCTCATGGTTGTTCTGGGGTCCTGTTGCTGTGAAACTATCTTAGTGATGCACCAGCTTAGCTCACTAAGCTATTTTAGCGTTAAACTAGCATAGCGCTAAATTAGCATAGCAGTCTTGACTGTTGGCTTGGCTTTTAAATTTTCCCACACATTAGAAATTTTTTTGCCTTTTTATGGTGTTGTCATCCTGTTTGTTATTGCTCTGCTGACTGTTTGATCTGTCACACCGGAAAGACATTGTATAAGCCACCCTTACTTTTTCAAATAGTATAAGCTGCGTAATAAGTTGCATATGCGTATTAAATGTAAAAAAAAAAAAAACTTCTTAAACCCCTATTACCTGCAACAAAAATAAGGAAATATATGGGAAAACAACTTAGTCAAGAAAGACAGTCTCTTCTACGTCACAGGGAATTTATGGCCACACCCACCTTGGATTGGGACCGCCCACTTTAATGCCTGGAAACAGGAGCACAAAAGCCTTTGTTTCACAGAATAAATTTGGCCATAGCAGTTTTATTGAAAAAAAATTGAGTTAATGAGAGCTTTAAAGAAATGCTCAGTGTTGCATATGATACACAGATACTTGGAATTGTATCAACTGTTTCACATTTGGAGAGAAAAATACAACCTGCAAACATTTTCAATGTTCTCAGAATTTGTCATTGTTTCTCTCCCAGTGAAACACATATTTAGGCACTCTGTGTAATTGATTGGGTGGGTGGCTGAGATCTGGACTACACATACAAACACACCCTTACACATTCGCTCAGTTCAGGGTTATTAGCTTAAAGAAATTAAAGGCGCTTCCACCAGACTGAGACAATTAAGTTGCTGGATAGAAACTTGTTTCTATTAACCTCTACATGTAAAGGTGAAATATGCACGCGCACACACACACACACAGACACACACACACACACACACACACACACACACACACACACACACACACACACACGTAGAAAGAAACACGTGGACAAGAGCAGGTTTCTCCCTTCTATTCTCACAGCAACCAAACACTTGGCGTTCAGATTCAAAGTCTCTTTTTTTTCTGTTTTTTTGTTTCTTCCAGACACACAAATACACAGAGCGAGTTGAGGTGATACACACAGAGTCCTATCCTGCCTTATTTTTAGCTGTTCCCCCTACCCAGTTCTGACCTACATCAGAGCATGAATAAAGCAGCAGAGATGAAGAGAATGTGCTCTGAAGGGGGGCGGCAGAGGAGGTAGAGGAGGTCTGGGCTGGAGGAGAATGAGAGAGGAAGAGAGAGACACTCAGACCAATCTAGAAAACGAATTCCCCCTGTGTAACATGACAGTTCCAGTTCTGTCAGCAGACCTCACCTGCAGCAAAGCCCCCAAGAGGAGGCTGCAGACGGCAACCACACACACACACACACACACACACACACACACACACACACACACACACACACACACACACACACACACACACACACACACACACACACACACACACACACACACACAGGCAGTAGCACCTTGGAGCAACGATGATCAAAAAGTCTCATTATGCCTCTCACTTGTCACTCACTGCCTTTTCTCTCCTAATGAAAGATGGCAAAAGTGGCGAGCTATTGACTTTAAATTATCGAGGCTGTGATGCGATCACATCACAGGCTGGACGCCATCAACCTTGAACAACAATTTGGCGCCTTTCGCCAATGAAGGCTAATCAGAGGAGTGGCTTTTAGAGAGTAGTGCTTCACAACAAGATGGAAATTGGATTTAGGTACTGCTTTGCACCCTCAGAGCACTCAAATAAGTTTCATGTTTTTTGAAGTGGTAGATCAATGCCTTTTATGCTGAAAGCCATTGTGGCTTTCTACGCCTAAATACACGATCTGTCTCTTTTTGACTCTGCAAATGAACACTGCCACTGTGCACTTTCTAGGGATGAAATTTACCAAGAAAAAAACTTCCAGTGTTGCATGTAAGTCAATTACATACCTCATTCACGTCCATTCTGCCGGAAAGGGAAGGTATGAGCCGAACACCTCGAAGCTAAAACGCATTTATCCAAGGAAAGGATATGGAAATTTCTCTTCACTCTCTCCTTCCCTGAAGTATGCATGCAGAGTCCCATAAGTGCTAGAAAGACCGGTTAGCCTCAGGAATCTGCTTTTCTGCTGCACATAGAAATACTAAACTGTGCAAACACACATGCATAGACATTTAGGCCCCTCTGCTTAACACCTCCCTCGTGTATTTCACATCCCATTTCATCAGCAGTCACCCAACTCTGTTAATGCTTCTTTGATACACGTGTTGTAAGGCTATTACAATGTCTTTCAAGCTACACTAGGAGAGGATATCTGTGTATAAAGACCGGTGTAATTTATCTTGATATTAGCCGAACATTATGGATGTTAGGAGAGGAGATGCCTGCTTTTTTTCTAGCCTTATGTCTTTTTCTCATTACCCTTTCCATTTTCACACGTTTCATTCTTACACCTATTGTTTTTTTTCTTGTTCTAACTAAGAACAGACCAAAAGTTTACATCTTCATAAATTTCTTTAGACAAACTGAACGCTGCATGTGTGTGAAAATGATCAGTAACAGAACCCATTTTTGGAACACCAACTAAAAGAAACTAATGACCCCTGAACCTTTCTTCTGTAACGAGATCAGAGCACCAGAGATAATTCACTTCAGTGAACTTCGCTCACTTCAAACTGTCACTCGAGGAGTATGTTTGTCTTTAAAGAACTGGCAGGCAGTTAATAACTCACTACCTCTGCTCTGTCTTCCCTCAGATATTGATGAGTGTGCAACGCAGATGCATTACTGCCAGTCCAATACTGTGTGTGTGAACCTTCCCGGCAGCTATCGGTGTGACTGTCTACCAGGTTTCATCAGAGTGGACGAATACTCCTGCACCGGTATGTCTGCATGCATTTAAACCCATAACTCATTCATCAAAAGTGTTGCTATCATCAATTATATGAGCTTAGAAAGCCCCACCAGTTTTTTACAGCCTGAACATTCTGTAATTGCTGTACAGGTTATCTTTCTGGCTTTTTCTTGTTAAGATTAAAATTTTGCTCTGGGATTTAAAATATAGACCCAAAGGACCTCTGCAAAGATTTCAGAAATCCCTAAGATCCCCAGATTTTTCATTTAGCACCACGAGCAGATAGCTATTTTTGGCTCAGAGAGAAATGTTTCAGTGCCTAATGAAATTCTGTTAAATCCCAATTCATAACCATGCTATGCACTACACTCATTTGAGAATTTTAACCACATTGGCAATCCAATAACTTATAGTGTGTCACAAAAAATAAATAAATAAATAAAAATCAAGATTTCCATCTGGCATTTGTTGCTGTTGTTGTGTGATAAGCACTCCATGATTAATTTGTCATACCAGCTTTATAATAATGAATGAGGCTGATGTTGGTGAGTATTTTAAAGGTGTGGTTCCCATTTTTTAATGATTACTTCTGAGTATAATCGGTTACTCTGGGTTTTTCACACAGGCTCAACATGAAAAGAGTCTCCTACACCTATCTCCTGCCTTAGCTTCTGATAGAAAATAAATGGTGAAACTCCAGGATTTGAGAAACCTGACAGATCTACATCACAGTGTCATTTAACATTCATGGATTCACCCATCTTGATTCAACGGGGGAAGCCGTTGTTGGTTTAATGTTTGGAAATCAGCCAAGGATGTTTCAGCTAGCAGAAGCTAACCATTAGCATTAGCAACTTCACCACATGGCAGAAGCTTCTCCAAGCTTATGTTATTTGTGGAGATAAAACACCCATGTTGCAAGTCAGTGGTAGAGTCAAATTGCTGTTTTCCAGTGTCATAGCCCAGAGCAATATACAACATGATTTACCAACTCCTGAAATTGATTCTTACATACAACTAACATATAATATAATATAATATAATATAATATAATATAATAAGTTACCTAAATGCCTTTAGCAGTCCTTTGCTTTTATTTTTTTAAGAATTGACCGTATTTTGATAAGATTGAAAATAACGAAGCCAGTTTTTGTGCATTAAACAGCCATATTTTGTAGGTTATTTTCTCGTAGTATTTACATCTTGTTTCTTTGCACAAGGCTGGAGTCATCTGTAAACTTACTGTCTCATTTTGATTCAATTATAGGCCTCTATACAGTAGTAAAAAATCAAAGGACTGAGCACACAGCCCTTAGGTATTCCTGAGTACATTAAGAGGATACATGAATGAAAACATTCCCGGTACATGTTTAATTTTCTCAAACATCAAAGTGTTTAATTTTGTTTAACTTAAAAGTTTTGTCTCCATGTAGCAACCATGCCATTTACTCAATCTATTTGTTGACAAAAGAGAAAAGGTTAGAAATGTGTCCCATTTACATCTTTAACTTTGTTGTATTTCATATTTTTATCATTATGTCGACCATTTGCGGGTACAATCATATTATGTTTTCCATGTAGTCATAAACGTGAATCTCAGCTGTTGAACCATTTTGTTTGTGACATTTTTTTTTCAGTTGTAACCCAAAATATAGACACACAAAGATGTACATGAAGCTCAGAATCTGTCATTTTACCCGCACAAAGATAGCAAACAATACGTTTTTCAAAGTATGTAGATTTTCAGCTATTTCTGAAAAAAGAGGCATACAGTATCATTGTCTTCTCTGTTTTTCATTTTGCTGTCGGGTTTTTGAACAGCACATATTCTCAGGAGTAAATAGATTGTGCTTCAGTATTTCTCAGAGGAAGAATTCTTTAATTAGCTCACAATTGGCAGGCACACAGGGACAAGGATCCATGAACAATCAATCCATTTTGTAGCTATGTAAACTGTCCTGGCTGCTGACTGGGAGCCCAAAGTGGACTTGCTGCATCTGCTGGGAGAGATAAATCCTCATGCTGTCCCTTCTTTCCCTCTTGCTGCTTCTCCCATAAGGGTGTCTGATCTTTCACAGTGGTAACAGCCATCTTCTGTAATTGACTATTTGTGCTATAATCAGTAATGTCATTCTTTAACTGGGATTGTTTTGTTGAAGTGACTTTGTTGTAATGATATAAAAAATGGACACACACACAAATATACGTTGAACACCTTTCTTTTGTCTTATTTCAAAAATTTTAATAATTGTAAACCTCCAGTTTCATTAGCATAATGGATCAACAAATGCTATATACATTTTTATTGTGAATATTTAGAAGTAAAAAAATAATTCTTGCAATACTACCTTTTTATATCACCAGGGAGCCAACAGTAATACTAATAAAAGTACGGTAGGTGTTAAATCCTCCTTTTTGTTCATTGTTATCTCATGTAGGGCTGGGACGATAATCAATAAATCAATTATTCGTACAATAGATGAAAATGAACTCAATAACTTTTTCCAGCCTCAATATATCGAGGTTAAGAAATGTACAGGTCTGTTATATATATTTATTATCATTATTGAAGCGCAGTTTTGGTTTTGGGTCTAGATATGCCATTGTATTTATTGTTTTGGAGAGAGGTTTTTTTTTGTTGCATTTTTTCTAACAGAGAGTGAGACTCCATTTTTATTTTATTTATTGTTTGTTATATTTATTTATTTGGAAGTTCTGGTTCTGGACATTCCAATGTTAAATAAAGGTTTAATTGTTGCATTTTAAAGGGTGTACTTGCATTAGTATGATATATTAACATTAAATGTTTTTTTTTTCTGGCCTCGATAATGTCGACATTAATATCGTTTATCATCAATAATTTGTTGGACGATATATTGTCCAACAAAATATTGACGATAAACAATATTATTGTATTAAATAAATAAATGTAGCTATATATTGTCTTGTATTGCAAAATTTGTTGTCGCCCTAGACCTAATCTCATATAACCTCACCAGCTACTTAATGAGGTGTTTGTTTTTGTATATTTAATAGACACACATGGTGTGTCTGAACTGATAAAACATTAAAATCACTGAAACCTAAACAAATATACGCATGTTTCACTGTTGCTGCTATGTGTTTGTGCCTGCCCTCTTACATTCAGGCCACTGCGTGCGTGAGCATGTGTGTGTGTGTGTGTGTGTGTGTGTGTGTGTGTGTGTGTGTGTGTGTGTGTGTGTGTGTGTGTGTGTGTGTCTCAGTGGACACACATGCATCACTCAAGTTCAGTCACCCTCAAACTTGGCTTGCATGACTGAAGGTTGAACACTCTTGATAATAAAATCAGAGTTTCTTCTTTGGTGGGTTAAAGGCCAGTGCACTTTTACACCACATGCATCTCCAGAGCCTTTGGGCACTTTCAACGTGGTTTGTCCTTTTGTATCCCCCTCTTTCCTGAGTATACATTGCCCTGTAAAGAATGAGAGGTTGCTGTAATTGTGGTTACGCTTCATCCACCTCTCTGGAAGCAGGCAGGCTGCTCCCGGGAAACTAAGAATGGATGGACAGAGGAAAAAGGAAATGTGGCAGGTTCCATATCTTAGCCTAGGGCTACTCAGTAGTGGAAAAATGTAAGATGGGGTGTGTCCGAATCCATGGGAAGGATGCTTGTAAGAGTGTATTTTGAGGTTGATGACGTCACAGCGCAGACGAGTACTGTCCAAATTCCAAGAATACTCATTCTCTCGTCCTCAAATGTGTCCTCGCTCCGCCCACATTTCGAGGACGGGTCTGTTGTATCCTCATAGAACAAGGCTATCCCAGCATGGCTGTGGCTATCCCAGCATGGCTGTGGATTTTAAACAGGAAGAGAAAATGGGGAGAGTGGCAAATTTTTAAACGTAAGTTTGTTAAAAACTAGCCGTGGAAACCTAAAAAGCTTATAGCGGTTCAGTTTATAGACATTTTTCATTTGTAATTCCATGTTGTCATTCTTTTTTAAAACACAGAAATGGTTTTGTTACCTGTTATTGACGCTACAGTTTCACCGCCGGCTGCCGGCTTCTTCAGGCTGACGCTGCTGGTGGCGCGTCTCTGCCTTCTCCGTTTATCTGCGGGCAGCAGAGGACGTTGTCGCCCTCTACTGCCCGACGGAGTTTAAACGCTGGACCACGCATGGGACTGCATCGTCGGAGAGGGGAGACTGATTGGGCACATGTCTTGGATACTCGGGTGAAGAGGGGGCGGAGCTGTCAACTGATCATTACCTGGTGGTGAGTTGGCTCAGATGGTGCGAGAGGATGCCGGTCAGACCAGGCAGGCCCAAACGTATCGCGAGGGTCTGCTGGGAATGTCTGGCAGAGTCTCCTGTCAGAAGGAGCTTCAATTCCCACCTCCGACAGAACTTACAAAATATTCTGGGGGAGGCGGCGGACTTTGAGTCTGAATGGACCCTGTTCCATGCCTCCATTGTTGAGGCGGCTGACCGGAGCTGTGGTCGCAGGATCGTGGGTGCCTGTTGTGGTGGCAACCCCTGAACCCGCTGGTGGGCACCGGCGGTTAGGGATGCTGTCAAGCTGAAGAAAGAGTCCTATCAGGTATTTTTGGCCTGTGGGACTCCAGAGGCAGCTGACGGGTACCGGCAGTCCCAAGCGGAACACGGCTCGAGTGGTCGCCGAGGCAAAAACCCGGGCATGGGAGGAGTTTGGTGAGACTATGGAGCAAGACTTTCGTACGGCTTCAAGGAGATTTTGGTCCACCATCCGGCGCCTCAGGGGGGGAAATCAGTGCACTACCATCACTATCTATAGTGGGGACGGTGTGCTGCTGACCTCTACTCAGGACGTTGTGGATCGGTGGGAAGAATACTTCGAAGACCTCCTCAATCCCACCGACACGTCTTCCAGTGAGGAAGCAGAGTCTGAGGACTTTGAGTTGGCCTCTCAAATGTCTGGTGCTGAGGTCACTGAGGTGGTTAAAAAGCTCTTCTTTGGCAAGGCTCCAGGGGTGGATGAGATTCGCCCGGATTTCCTTAAGGCTCTGGAT